AACGGGAATGAAATCGTAAAAAAACTGTTAACTATTAACATTTATATCTATCGAATCATCTGTGTTAATTGGTAAATAAGGCATGTGTTAATAAGGAACAATTAGTCTCATTAGTATTTTAGTTTGGTTGTCTTTTGCCATCTTACGCAAAAACCACTGTATACCTGATGTCGTGGGCGATATTCTAATAACACATCTTTCTTTACTATATTGTAGGACGTAGGTAGAAATATAGATACATAAAAGAACACAAATTTGTCACTGCATCTTTCTGTTTGTTCGCTTAAAGAAGGTAGATTTCCAGGGGGGCGCTGAGTAATTTTTTTTCTGAAAAGGGGGGCGCTGAGTAATTTTTTTTCTGAAAAGGGGGCAGTAGGCCAAATAAGTTTGGGAACCTCTGATCTAGACTGTTCTCAGTGGTAGCAGATGACAGAACACAGGGTAATGGTCTCAAGTTGCAGTGGGGGAGGTTTAGGTTGGATATTAGGAAAAACTTTTTCACTAGGAGGGTGGTGAAGCACTGGAATGGGTTACCTAGGGAGGTGGTGGAATCTCCTTCCTTGGAGATTTTTAAGGTCAAGCTTGACAAAGCCCTGGCTGGGATGATTTAGTTGGGGATTGGTCCAGCTATGAGCAGGGGGTTGGACTAGATGACCTCCTGAGGTCCCTTCCAACCCTGATATTATATGATTCTATGATGGACTGAGACAAATGGGGAGGTTTCTTGGCCAGCTTGTCTGGATCAGACAACACTTGCATCAAAGCCTCCAGAAGATGTAACTTCAGTCTGCCCTCTCTGGATTGAAGTCTGTACTTTGAAAATCCTACATTAAGTAGTGCTCAGGCATATGGTCTTTGCCTAAGCATAGGAGGTGCTGAGCATCAATCATGGGCTTTGCTGAGTCCCAGGTAGAAGAGATCTTGAATCCTGGAGCCTTGCCTTTGATCTTATATATGGGGGGGGGGTGTCTAACCATGTACAGAGGCTGGCATGGGGCCGGGGGCCAGAAATCCTATCAAAACACTATTTCCACAGGGAATAGAGAACAGGTATGCTAACTAATGAACTGTAAATAGCGAATCAGAAAACAATAGCTAAATAATCTTTTGCAGATTGGAGGTCACTGAGATCGCAGGGCTCCATGTTGAAGCCATTGGTGGTCAGAAGAAACTGAAAGGCTGTTCAGGCTGCCCTGCTCCTTATACCCTTGGCTACGGTGGTTGCAGGGGCTCCCAGGATGCAGGGGAATTCCCGTGGGACGCACTTATTCAAAGGAATACGATCGCATGTGCACAGGGCATATGTGCAGCAAGAATGGAATCTGTGTGCACAATCACTCAAAGAATGAAACAGCAGTTAAACTGAAATTAAATGGACAACTCAATTCAAAGTCACATGCCTGGCTGAAAATGCTTTACTTGCTCTTGTTACAAGTAACACCTGAGATCAGTAGAGCTAAGAGAAAAAAGGATATTATTTTCACCTCTGTTTTCAGGTTTACTTCCAACAGTTTATAGCACTCTGTGTAGAGTCAGTGCCACTGCACCCCCTGCATAGTCAGTCAATATCCACTCTTGTTTGTGAGGCTCATTCAGGGAGCAGAGGAGACAATATAAGAGACCAAAAAAGAAACAATGTTATTGTAAGGCAAAGGGAAATAGAACAAATTGCCCCTACTTGTTCAGGCGTGTTGCCATCATCAGCATAAAGTCTGGGGTCTGCTCCATATTGAAGAAGCGTCTCCACTGCAGCCATGTGACCACCAAAAGCAGCACGATAAAGAGGGGTCCTGCCAAAAGCTCCCTACACAAATAAAAACAATGAACATGAGGAAAATAGTGTCTGACAGTCACATATAGCAATCTGCTATCATCAATGCTCTGTACATCTTCTCCCAACCTGCACAAAGGACAACCTATAAAGCTCCCTCTCCCACTGCAGAAGTGGATACCAGCAGAGCCTGATTAAAGCAATTTGGGGCCCTAGACACCCTCACATGGGGTCTCTTCTGTGCCACAACCCTACTCCTCCACACCATCATCCCATCCCTGCTTAGGGTTGTAATGGCCAGGGCCACGCTCATCTGGGTGACCTGACAACCTCAGAAATGGGGCACTTGGGAGTGGGGAGGGGGAGAAGAAGCCAGAGCATGTAATAATTCTTTAAAAAGGGTTTACCAGTATTTATTTTATCTACACCCATTTACTTTCAGTCCTAATTCCCTGTAAGTTTCCCTTTGTGTACCCAAAGCGTTTTTATTCTCTAGAAAGTCCAAAGTCTTTATAGGGAGGCAGAGCCCAGCCTGTGCCCAAACTCGGGACCTTCTTTTCCAAGGTGTTACTGCTCCTCAGACAATGATCTGGTGCTGTCTTTAAAACTCCCCTCTCTGGAATTGTTCCCTCAGCCTCAGAATGAGGTGGGGCTGATTTATGTAAATCCTAGATCCCTTCCACTCCCAGCAGCTTCTGAGAGGATTTGTGATTGATTAGAGCCAGCTGAACCACATCCTAGTTCTAATTTTCTGGGGTAGTCCACTACCTACAGATTCTTGGGGTTGTTTGGGTTTTTTCACCCTTGTGACAGTTCATTCTCTCATAGTCACACATATAAGAGCAACCTGCTGGGCTAGCGGGTGATCTACCATTGCTCCCCTTTGTGCAGGCTGTGGTCCCCCTCCTTTCTAGAACATCACTCTATCGTCATACAAGCTGGGTTCTGTCCAGAGGGAAGGAGGTCTCAGCCCCTACTCATCTGGGCAGGAAATGCCATGTCTGCATCTTTCCCACTCAAATGATAATGGAGGTGACTGCAGCACGTACACTGAGTCCACTTTTCATGTGGCGTCAGCAAAGGCCCTCATGCAGAGATAGCAAGTAATGGTCCCTCTTTTTGTTTTCTTCTTGTGTGTGGAACAAATGACTGCCCAAGCTCATAGCACAGCCTCTCCCACCCTCACACATTCCCTTCATCCTCTATCCTCTCCCTCATTACATCTGCTCCTTTCATTCATTCTCCTTCCTGCCTCTTCATTCATTCCAGATCCTACATTCATTTCAATGAGACTTTATTAGCATGACAAGCTACAGAAGTGTTTCCAAAGTGGAAGGAAGAGACAGACTGTTCAGGTCTCTGTCAGGAGTGGATTCAACCCACCCACAACAGAATCTCACACTGCATTTGAGGTTTCAACTTTTGCCCATTTATCATTCCTATCCATTCCTGAGCTGCTAGCAGGTTGCTCCACAGCATGATGCTTTGTCACTCTTTTTCCCCACAGTCCATAACAGTTTTCCTCATCACTTTTTGATGACACATCTTTATGATACCTGATAACTTGAAAAAACATCCATCTTGCTCTTCCTCTTATTTGCAATATTGGCCTAGAAAATGTTTGTCTCAATCTCTCCTCTCACATTGGCTGCACAGTTGCTCTTTTCTGAGTTTAAACACTTTCTCTTCACTATTCTCCATTTTCCTTATCCCTCTCTTCCCCATCCCCTTCATCATGTTTGTTAAATTTGAGTGCTCAGTCATTCATTCTGCACACAGAAAAGGAAAGAGGCCACTAGGAGATGTGCAGTGCCTTTGGTCTCTTTCCTTTCTTGGCCACGCAGGTTCATCAGAGCCAGCAGCTGAGTCCCCCCCACAGCTGAGTCCCATTTCCCTGGTACAGTGACACACGCCTCAGAGGGGCTCCTCATAGTGGAAGGCCAATCCTCCCAGGGCCCCCTGGGCAAGCTAAGAAGTTTTCCCTTTTCCCTTGCCTCCATCCCCCCCTCCATTAGAGCCAGAAGAGTGACAGGGTCCTCTTCAGCACAGCAGGGGCCTAGTTGCCTCTGGTGGTAGGTGTGGGGCCAGCCATGTCTTCTTTCTGCTGGAGGGTCTCTGCAGTCTCAGATAAACATTACTGCATCAGTTACACTTGAGTCATATTTTCAAACTTTTTTTTTTTTTTAATTGGAAGTGGAGGTTCTGGCTTCAAGTGATTTCAGGATCTGGGGCCTTAGGTATAAGTTTATAATGCCTATGTAAAGTAGTTATGGAACATGATCCACATTCATAGCCTGAGAAGCAGGCTCCTACTCCACTAATATCAGAGGGGCTGACTTCACCAAATTGCTATTTTCTGAAGGGAAAAGGGATTTGGGGGTGAAGGTAGTAGGACTGACTACCAGGAGGGAGACATTGGAACATAACTAAAAGAAAGGCAATTGATCAGTGTGTGAAGATGGGAAGGGCACAAGAGAAATTAATAGGTAATGCTATAATTTAGTCATGGATACTTTTAGTAAAAATCATGGACAGGTTATAGAAACATAGAAGATTAGGGTTGGAAGAGACCTCAGGAGGTCATCTAGTCCACCCCCCTGCTCAAAGCAGAACCAACCCCAACTAAATCATCCCAGCCAGGGCTTTATAAGCCAGGCCTTGAAAACCTTTAAGGATGGAGATTCCACCACCTCCTTAGGTAATCCATTCCAGTGCTTCACCACAGTCCTAGAGAAATAGTTTTTCCTAATATCCAACCTAGACCTCCCCTACTGTAACTTGAGACCATTACTCCTTGTTCTGTCATCTGCCACCACTGAGAACTGCCGAGCTCCATCCTCTGGAACCCCCCTTCAGGTAGCTGAAGGCTGCTATCAAATCCTCCCTCACTCTTCTCTTCTGCAGACTAAATAAGCCCAGTTCCCTCAGCCTCTCCTCATAAGTCATATGCCCCAGCCCCCTGATCATTTCACTGCTCTCCGCTGGACTCTCTCCAATTTGTCCACATCCTTTCTGTAGTGGGGGGGCTCAAAACTGGATGCAATACTTCAAATGTGGCCTCACCAGTGCCGAATAGAGGGGAATAATCACTTCCCTCAATCTGCTGGCAATGCTCCTACTTATACAGCCCAATATGCCATTGGCCTTCTTGGCAATGAGGGCACACTGCTGACTCATATCCAGCTTCTCATCCACTGTAATCCCCAGGTCTTTTTCTGCAGAACTGCTGCTTAGCCAGTCGGTCCCCAGCCTGTAGCAGTGCATTAACTGAGGACCTCCAAAATATGGAACAATATTTCCGGAAATGGAGGCTCAAACATGTGACTGAGTAGGGAGTATTAACCTGGTAATGTTGCATGGGAGTTTTACTAATTTACTGTCTTCTGCTAACACGGGGTGTGGCTCCATTTCCCTGGGGTGCTGCCCCACACTAGATGGGGATGGAAAATAAGGGGGTGACTTCACTGAGGGATGATACTTGACAGCCAGCACAGAAGCGAACCCGACTGCCCTTCGTAACCTGAGCCCAGGAGGGGGTTGGGACAAAGGCTGGAGGAGGGGTCGGAGGTGTGGCTGGGGGAGGCAGCAGGAAGAGGTTTCAGTTTGGAGCTGGCTGGGGAGACGGGGGGAGGCCCAAAACCCAGGTCTGGGCTCCCCACGCCCCAAGAGGGACCTGACTGAGGGGTCCTGTTTTCTATACCTACAAACTCTGTTTAGACTGTGTTCCTGTCGTCTAATAGAAGCCTATGAAGCCTCTGTTCATTGGCTAAGCCTTAGTCAGGGGCGGGGCTATCAGGAAGGCCAGGGCTTTATAAAGCTGTGAGCAAGCAACCAGGGAGCAGTTTCGAGAGGGAGTTGGGAAGGGGGCGAGGTACACCTGCCATTCTTTAAAACCTTTAAACTAAACTATAATTAAAACTTCTTGATTTAAACAAAAACCCTGTCATTAACCTCGGCAGCTGTAGGTGAGAATTCAGGCAGAAGCCCAGCAGCAGAGTGGGGGCTATCCTGTTTATTGTGCTCAGTGTAGCATGTATGATTACCTGCCCTGTGGGCGGGTGAGGTATGTGTGCATTTGGTGCAAGGAGCTCCCGGCTCTCAGAGACCGCGTAAGGGCTTTGGAGGCCAGGGTGGTGGAACTGGAGAAGCTAAGGGAGGCAGAGAGGTATGTTGATGAGGATTTGTCCCACCTCTGGTCAGACAGCCTCTGCGCTGTTAAAGAGGATGAAAGGCTCAGGGAAGAAAGCAGTCAACGGGAGCAGAAGGAAACCTTCCCATAGTTGGGACCCTCCTTCCAGATGGTGTTGGGGTATCCTCTCGCACTGAGGTTATCTCTCGGGGTGGGGGGGGGGAATTCCAGTCACTAGGAAAAGGCAGGTGTTAGTAATGGGAGATTCGATCATTAGAAACATAGATAGCTGAGTTTGTGATGACTGGGAGAACCGTATGGTGACTTGCCTGCCTGGTGCAAAGGTTGCGGATCTCTCGAGGCATCTAGATAGACTTATGTGTAGTGCTGGGGAGGAGCCGATGGTCGTCGTACACGTAGGTACCAATGACATAGGGAAAGGTAGGAGAGACGTTCTGGAGGCCAAATTTAGGCTGCTAGGAAAGAGACTGAAATCCAGGACCTCTATGGTAGCATTCTCAGAAATGTTTCCAGTTCCACGCTCAGGGCCAGGTAGGCAGGCAGAGCTTCAGAGTCTCAATGCGTGGATGAGACAATGGTGTAGGGAGGAGGGGTTTAGATTTATTAGGAACTGGGGAAACTTTGGGGATAGGGGGAGCCTATACAGGAAGGATGGGCTCCACCTAAACCATAAGAACGGCCATAGTGGGTCAGACCAAAGGTCCATCTAGCCCAGTATCCTGTCTGCTGACAGTGGCCACTGCCAGGGGCCACAGAGGGAGTGAACCTAACAGGTAATGATCACGTGATCTCTCTCCTGCCATCCATCTCCAGGCTCTACAGCACTGATGGAGCTGGACGCGGCACTGGGGCACTCCCCACAGCCTATGGTGCCACCACCTGTTCCAGTAGTGCAGAGTGCTCAAAGGTGGGCGCCAACACCCCCACCTGTAGCAGCATCAGCAGCACCGACCACTTCGGCGCCAAAACCACTGGTACACCATACCATTTCCTACAACACAAGAATCTACTTGTCTCTTTAACGCCGCAATCTCCACTATTCAGCACCAATTTCTCTCTGGTATGCACAGTACCAGGCCAACCTGCTTCACCATTGGCTCCTCCGCCTAGTGAGGAGAAAGATAATGAGGAGGGGGATGCCTTTTTCTCAGACCACTCTTCTCCCAGCCAAACTACTACACCCTTAGGCCCACCCATGCAGACTAAATCCATCCACAAGATGGGCACCCAGTCCTGGTATGATCACCTATGGCTACCCTTTTCCCACACAGTGGCCTTATTGGGACCCTGGGCAGCATACAGGGGACAATACCCCAGACCCTCAAGTTCCTACAGGGAAAAGATTAGGACTTCCCCACCAGCCTCAGTGTAGTACCATCAGTGCCCCCTGAGAAGAGCTTTGAGGAACAGGAGGAAGCCTTGGAACAGGAGACGATGCCTCCAACCAACATTTCCTCTTCCTCCCCAAACAAGGCTATAATGCCTCCACCGTCCACAGCTGCTGCTGATTTCAAACACTTCGAGGGGCTGTTCAAGAGAATCACAGATTCCCTAGAGATCCCTCTATAAGACGTCCCACAATCAAAACATAAATTACTGGATATTCTACACACCTCATCTGCATCAAAAATAGCGCTTCCTATAAAGGATGTGCTGATGGAACTAGCCAAAGACATATGGCGGACCCTGGCAACTATACCACCCACCTGTAAGAGAGCAGATAAAAAGGGGATGGACTTTTTATTTTCTCACCCAGCACCAAACTCTCTAGATATTGACGCAGTCTATCAGTGTGGTAAACAACATCATTTCACATCTGTGCCATGCAACAAAGAATGGAAGTGACCAGACCTTTTTGGCCACAAGGTCTACTCATCAGCCACTCTGCAATTCTGGATTGCTAATTACGCCACATTGATGGCTAAATACAACCAATCAATTTATTCTAAATTAATGGACTTTATTGATTGTATCCCAGAAGGCAAAAGGGAGCAATTCAAAACCATCATATCCTTTGATGTGGCAGACGTGGCAGCACGCTCCTCTGTCACTGCTATAGTCATGTGCCAGTGTCATGGCTCCACCTATCTGGCTTCCCCAGGGAGGTGCAATGCATGGTGGAGGACCTCCCCTTTGATGGCCAAAAGCTGTTTGCAATAAAGACGCACGAGTCCCTCCACATCCTGAAGGATTCTCAGGCAACCCTTTGTACTGTGGGTATATAAACACCTGCAACGTGGAAAAAAACAGGGTAGATTCTGTCCTTCCTAGTGTACAAGATCTTCCCCATACACATAAAAACGGAGGCAATATGATTCACGACAGAAGCAGAGACCTCCAAGGCATCAACGAGCTCCACCCATCAGCGTCCCAACAACCCTTGTCGAAACAACAATTTTGAGGATTTGGTCGAAGGCCTGAACAACCTACCCCATTCATCAGTGCTCACGCTATCTCTGACCATCCCCCATTTTGGATACTGTTTGACCCCTTTCTATTCAGCTTGGAAATCCACCACCATGGACAAATGAGTCTTAGAAATAATCCATGCAGGCTATACAATACTGTTTATTTCCACGCCCCCACCCTCCTTCCCCGTCCCTCTTCAGGGATGCTTCTCATGAACAGCTTCTATGGCAAGAAGTAAAACACCTCTTGCATCTGAGTGCTGTAGATATGCCGGAGGGTAGGGATAGGATACAGAGGGACCTAGGCAAAATGGAGGACTGGGCCAAAAGAAATCTGATGAGGTTCAACAAGGACAAGTGCAGAGTCCTGCACTTAGGAAGGAAGAATCCCATGCACCACTACAGGCTGGGGACCAACTGGCTAAGCAGCAGTTCTGCAAAAAAGGACCTGGGGATTACAGTGGATGAGAAGTTGGATATGAGTCAGCAGTGTGCCCTCGTTGCCAAGAAGGCCAACGGCATATTGTGCTGTATTAGTAGGAGCATTGCTAGCAGATTGAGGGAAGTGATTATTCCCCTCTATTCGGCCCTGGTGAGGCCACACCTGGAGTATTGCGTCCAGTTTTGGTCCCTCCCATTACAGAAGAGATGTGGACAAATTGGAGAGAGTCCAGCGGAGGGCAATGAAAATGATTAGGGGGCTGGGGCACATGACTTACGAGGAGAGGCTGAGGGAACTGGGCTTATTTAGTCTGTAGAAGAGAAGAATGAGAAGGGATTTGACAGCAGCCTTCAATTACCTGAAGGGGGGTTCCAAAGAAGATGGAGCTAGGCTGTTCTCAATGATGGCAGATGACAGAACAAGGAGCAATGGTCTCAAGTTGCAGTGGGGGAGGTCTAGGTTGGATATTAGGAAACACTATTTCACTAGGAGGGTGGTGAAGCACTGGAATGGGTTACCTAGAGAGGTGATGGAATCTCCATCCTTAGAGGTTTTTAAGGTCAGGCTTGACAAAGCCCTGGCTGGGATGATTTAGTTGGTGTTGGTCCTGCTTTGAGCAGGTGGTTGGACCAGATGACCTACTGAGGTCTCTTCCAACCCTAATTTTCTATGATTCTATGAAACACCCTTTACCTGTGGACTCAGGGCTTAATCTTTTGTGGGTTTATGGGGTCTCTCACCAGCGAAAGAGCCCCACACAGCAATACCCCACTCAAGCTCCACCTATTAACAATTACCAAAACAGAATGCACATGCCATACACACAACGCTCACCACTCCCAACAAGACAGATGAACCCTTCCTGATGGCCAGCCAGGATCAGGTCCATCTGGGGGACTCCAGCCTCTGCACGGTGCCACTGGGAGAAAGGGATCTAGTCCTGGGGTGGGAGGCAGTAGACACTGGCTTGCAGGTATGGGATCGCATGCCCCATGGTGTCCAGTAAGGCCAAGGTCAATAGGCATATGGACATTACACTGGTAAACACAACAGGGGGCCTATGAGATTCATGCCATTTCCTATCACGAGACCAGTCCCTAGAGTCCCTCCCAGATTCCCATTGTAATCCCCATAGAAGGGAGGGAGCGTGAGCAAGTGGGAGATGAGCCCCTACTGTGCATTGACTGTGAGAATGAAAAGGAATACTCCTGCTCTGAAGGTAGGGCTAAACTTTGAAGTGTATAATGTCCCCTCCACTCTGGTATTGATGGAGTTGGTACTGCTGACACTTATCATCTGCAGTACAGAGGTCTTGGTGACTGGTGGTCTAGCCAGCCTCACCTTCAACCTGTCTAACAAAGACGACTCCAGTACCTGGCCTATAGCTAAATCTCTTGGTACCATATATGCTCTAGGTACTGACAAGGACTGCACCTATGAACTGGGTACCAATGAACAAGTTACTTAAGCGATTAGTATATTGAGGTTGACGCTGGAGGAAAGGCAGTCCACATGTTTAGTGGGTATCACTGGTACATGTTTAACTGTTAGCACAGATGCAGCAGAGGGACTTTTGTCAGGCTATTGGCTGTTCTTTGATTGTTGAGCCTGAGATGACTAAGACACTTACAGACTAACAAATAATTAATTAATAATACTAAAGAGCTTGTCTACATGGCAAGTTAACATATGGGAAGCCAGGGTGTGAATCTACAGTGCACTAGTGTGCTCTACTTCCACACTAGCTTGCCATGCATTATCTCACTGCATGGCCAAGTCCTAAGAACTTTAACACTAATGCTCGCAGAGAAGCAGGTGGACACTGCAGGGATTCTGTCTCACTACCAGAGGGTAGCCGTGTTAATCTGTATCCACAAAAACAAGGAGTCCAGTGGCACCTTAAAGACTAACAGATTTATTTGGGCATAAGCTTTCGTGGGTAACAAACCCACTTCTTCAGATGCATGGAGTGAACATTACAGATGCAGGCATTATTATATTGACTGTCAGTATAATAATGCCTGCATCTGTAATTTTCACTCCATGCATCTGAAGAAGTGGGTTTGTTAGCCCAAATAAATCTGTTAGTCTTTAAGGTGCCACCGGACTCCTTGTTGTTTTTGTCTCACTACCATTAGTGGTAGGAAGGAACTGAGGGACAGTAGGGCACCTCCATACTTGATGGCCTTGGGTTGGGGGGAGGCAAGGACATCCAGAGCACAGGCATGGCCCCAATGGATTCTGCTGGCCAAAAAAGTCCAGTCTCATATGCATGGTACACATGTGCACAAAGGCTACAATCCATGTGGACAAACACATGAAGAAACCACTCTATTACTGTGCTGGGGATTCTGCTAGTGGAGGATTTAACACAGCCCCTCCTAACTATTTATCACCTTGGAGATCTCTCCCACATGGATATCAATTCTGGACCCCCAATGGACTGTCTTAGGGGTTAATTACCTACTAAGAATTGAACCTTGCCCTCTTATCCCCACTACAACAAGTAAGGCAGTATGAGTTGAGTACTGAAGTGCAATTAGACACATAGCACATTAGCTGACCCCGCAGTCTAGCCAAGCTATCTTTCATAACATTGTTTATACAAGTTGCTGTGAGTCTTGTTCTATTGACTCTCAGGCAGTTCCCATTTCAGTTGTGGCCTATTTTCTTCCACCACCACAATTTCATACCTTGCAGTTGGGATTGGCTCCATTTTCTATCAGCAGCTTGATAGCGTTGGGGTGGCCACCTCCTGCTGCCTCTGAAAGGGGGGTGTTCCCATTGACGTCAGTGCACTCCACCATGTTGATGTGATTAGAGAGACGCATGGCCTTCCCTTTTTCATCGGTACCCACACCATTCTTAGTATCCAAATCTGACACCTGGATAGAACCAGACAAATGGAGAAGATAAACATGGAGAATGGGAAAAGAATGCCTTCTGCTCTGGGTACCCCTAAGAATTATGTATTAGCTGAAAGATTAGTGAAGAGAGATTTTTGGATACAGTTTATTTACATTGTGAAGTTTCAGGTGTTTTCCAGACACACACACAAAGCATACTCCCTGCATCAAAGAGCTCACGATCAAAGCAGGCAAAGCGGGCAATCAAAGCAGGCAGAAAGAGATTAGAGGCAGGAAGAGACAAACACAGCATGATGCAAGCCAGATGCATGGCAAACACCTTACTAGCTCCCTGCTTCATTTGTGTTTTGTCCTTTGTTACCTAATGAACAAGTCTCTGAGGGGAGGAACCAGGAGGCTTGGGGCCTCTTGCATAAAGCCTGTTTCAGAAGGAACCATTTCTACAGCCTTCAACAATGGACTATGATCCAAATCAATAAATTTGGAAATGAACAGAGCTCACAGAAAAGGACATGAGGTCCCTCCCTTTCTTATGTGTATTCCAGTTCCTATGGAACCTCTCCCCTCCCAAGTACTAACTTCCTTTAGCACAGCCTTCATCTCTTCCACATCCCCATCAAATGCCGCCTCCAGCATCCGTTTCTTCCTTTGTTGTATTTCTCGCTGCTGCTTCTTTTTTTCTTCCTCTTTCTCTCTCTCCCGTTCAGCTTCTTCCTGCTCTTTCTTCACCATCACAATGAAGGCCTGCAATAAAACAGTCATTGCAGCTCAAAACTCAAAGGGACTCTCAGCCATGTGCACCAGAAAACAGAGGCTCCAAGCACCCACATGGAAAGGGAAGTGGGCTGAAGTAGGGTTGCCGACCCTCCCAGATTGGCCGGGAGTCTCCTGGAATTGGCCTCAATCTCCTGGTGACTATTAAAGGCAATCCGGGAGATTTTAATAGGCCAAAGTCCAGTTGACAGCGCAGTGAGGCTAAGGCAGACTCCCTACCTGCTCTGGCTCCGCGCAGCTCCCGGAAGAGCTGACATGTTCAGCTCCTAGGTGCAAGGGCGGCCAGGGGGTCTCTGAGCGCTGCCCCCGCCCTGAGCGCTACCAATGGGAACTGTGGCCAATGGGAGCTGTGGGGGCAGTGCCTGCAGGCAGTGTGCAGAGCCACCTGACCACCCCTGAGCCTAGGAGCCAGACATGCCGTCCACTTCCAGTAGCTGCCCGAGGTAAGCGCCACCTGGCTGGAGCCCGCAACCCTTACCCCCTCCTGCACCCTTACCCCAGCCCTGATCCCCCTCCCACGCCCAAATTCCCTCCCAGAACCTGCACCACCTCCCGCACCCAGCCCTGAGCCCCCTCCCACACCCAAAGTCTGTCCCAGAGCCCGAACCGCACACCCCCTCCTGCACCCCAGCCCTCTGCCCCAGGCTCAGCCCGGAGCCCCCTCCCGCACTCTGAACCCCTTGGTCCCACTCCCCAGCCCAGAGCCTGCACCCCCCCCTGCACCCAACCGCCTGCCCCAGTCCAGTGAAAGTGAGTGAGGGTGGGGGATGGCGCCTCGGAGAAGGGACTTGGCAGGGGTGTTGGGTTTGTGCGATTAGACAGTTGGCAACCCTAGGCTGAAGATGGTTTCTCCATTGTTATGATAATTATAATAATTAAGTTATTATTATAATATAATTATTATAATAACAACAACAGAAAATGTGGACATGGCAGAGGTGCTTAATGACTTCTTTGTTTCGGTTTTCACCAAGATGGTTGGTGGTGATTGGATGTCTAACATAGTGAATGCCAGTGAAAATTAGGTAGGATCAGAAGAGGCTAAAATAGGGAAAGAACAAGTTAAATATTACTTGGACAAATTAGATGTCTTCATGTCACCAGAGCCTGATGAAATGCATCCTAAAATACTCAAGGATCTGACTGAGGAGATATCTGAGCAATTAGCAATTATCTTTGAAAAGTCATGGGAGACGGGAGAGATTCCAGAAGACTGGAAAAGGGCAAATATAGTGCCAATCTATAGAAAGGGAAATAAAGACAACCCAAGGAATTACAGACTTAACTTCTGTACCCGGAAAGATAATGGAGCAAATAATTAAGCGATCAATTTGCAAAAATCTAGAAGATAATAAGGTAGTAAGTAACAAGTCAGCATGGATTTGTCAAGAACAAATCATGTCAAACCAACCCGATAACTTTCTTTGACAGGGTAACAAGCATTGTGGATGGGGGGAAGCAGTAGTTGTGGTATATCTTGACCTCAGTAACGCTTTTGATACTGTCTCACATGACATTCTCATAAACAAACTAGGTAAATGCAACCTAGATGGAGCTACTATATAAAGTTGGTGGATGATACCAAGCTGGGAGGGGTTGCAAGTGTTTTGGAGGATAGGATTAAAATTCAAAATGATCTGGACAAACTGGAGAAATGGTCTGAAGTAAATAGGATGAAATTCAATAAGGACAAATGCAAAGTACTCTACTTAGGAAGGAACAATCAGTTGCACACATACAAAATGGGAAATGACTGCATAGGAAGGAGTACTGCGGAAAGGGATCTGGGGGTCATAGTGGACTACATGCTAACTATGAGTCAATAGTGTAAGACTGTTGCAAAAAAGCAAACATCATTCTGGGATGTATTAGCGGGAGTGTTGTAAGCAAGACACGAGAAGTAATTCCGTTCTACTCCACGCTGATTAGGCCTCAATTGGAGTATTATGCCAAGTTCTGGGTGCCATATTTCAGGAAGGATGTGGACAAATTGGAGAGAGTCCAGAGAAGAGCGATGAAAATGACTAAAGGTCTAGAAAACATGACCTATGAGAGATGATTGAAACAATTGGGTTTGTTTAGTCTGGAAAAGAGACGACTGAGCGGGGACATGATAACAGTTTTCAAGTACATAAAAGGTTGTTACAAGGAGGAGGGAGAAAAATTGTTTTTCTTAACCTCTGAGGATAGGACAAGAAGCAATCGGCTTAAATTGCAGCAAGGGAGGTTTAGGTTGGACATTAGGAAAAACTTCCTAACTGTCAGGGTGGTTAAGCACTGGAATAAATTGCCCAGGGAGGTCGTGGAAGCTCCATCATTGGAGATGTTTAAGAGCAGGTTGGACAAATACCTGTCAGGGATGGTCTAGATAATACTTAGTTCTGCCACGAGTGCAGGGGACTGGACTAGACAACCTCTCGAGTCCCTTCCAGTTCTATGATTATTTATAATGCAGCAGCAGTGCCATGTTGTGCTACGCTATGTACACAATCATAACATAACAAAGAGACCCCGCCTGCCTCTAAGAGCTTACAGTCTAGGTGTACAGTAAGAGACATCTGAATGATACAATAGACAGGGATGCACAAAGTAACACTGAGAATTACAGTTTTCACAGGACAGCATGATACAGGGAGAAAAATTCTGATGTTAGAGAGAGCTTTAATTAAGCAGATAAAGACATAAAATCCAATGTCTAGAAGTTGAAATTAAACAAATTTAAATGGAAAATAAGGCACACATTTTAATAGGATAATTAAGCACTGGAACAGATTACCAAGGGATGCGATGGATTCTCTGTCACTTGAAATCTTTAAATCTAGATTGGGCATCTTTCTAAAAGAGATGCTCCAGTTCAACCACAAGTTACTTAAGAATATAAGAATGCCCTTGCTGGGTCAGACCAATGGTCCATCTAGCCCAGCATCCTGTCTTCTAACAGCGGCTGGTGCCAGGTGCTTCAGAGGGAATGAACAGAACAGGCAATCATTGAGTGACCCATTCCCTGCTGTCCACTCCCAGCTTCTGGCAATCAGAGTCTACGGACATCCAGAGCATGGGGTTTCATCCCTGACCATCTTGACTAATAGCTATTGATGGACCTATCCTTCATGAACACATCTAGTTCTTTTTTGAATCCCGTTGTAGTTTTGGCTTCACAATGTCCCCTGGCAATGAGTCCCACAGGTTAACTGTGCATTGTGTGAAGACGTACACAAGTTATGAATCAGTGTATGAATCATGAAGTGCAATTCTATCTCTTGTGTTTTGCAGATCAGTCTAGAATCAGATATGGTCCCTTTTTTCCATCTAATTTATGAGATACTGAGATGCTACTTCAGGGGTGTGCAAACTTTTTGGCCCGAGGGCCACATCTGGGTATAAAAATTGGACGGTGGGCCATGAATGCTCATGAAATTGGGGGTTGGGGTGAGGGCTCTGGCTGGGGGTGAAGGTTCTGGGGTGGGGCTGGGGATGAGGGGTTTGGGGTGCAGAAGGGTGCTCCGGGCTGGGACTGAGGGGTTGGGGGGTGGGAGGGGGATCAGGGCTGGGGCAGGGGGTTGGGGCATGGGGGGAGTTCTGGGGTACAGACTCCAGGCGGCGCTTACCTCAAGTAGCTCCCAGAAGCAGCGGCATGTCCCCACTCTGACTCCTACGCGGCGGCACAGAGCCGGCCATGTGGCTCTGCACGCTGCCTCGTCCACAGGTGCCGCCCCTGCAGCTCCCATTGGCCACAGTTCCCAGCCAATGGGGGCTGCGGGGGTGGTGCCTGGGGAGGGGGCAACGTGCAGAGAGCCCCCTGGCTGTCCCTATGTGTAGGAGCTGGAGGGGGGACTTGCCTTTTGTTCCGGGAGCTGCGCAGCAAGCCCCCGACCCCACTCCCCAGCTGGAGCACCAGAGCGGGACAAGCCCCTGACCTCGCTCCCTGGCAGGAGCTCAAGGGCTGGATTAGAAGGCCTGATGGGCCGGACACGGCCCACGGGCCTTAGTTTGCACACACACACCCCTCGTGCTACTTCTTTCATGTACCCCAAGCTCCAGGAAAGAGGCCCTAAGCCCCACCTTTCTAAGTGCGACTATTATTTCTGCAGCAGTTTGAAGCCTTCAGGGGTTGGACTTTGCCAGTTGAGAGAGCTCAAGCTTTTCTAGGAAAGCTGCTATCTTTGCTCCAAGGTCTCAACTTTCATTTTAAAAATGAAGTATCTAGCTTTATGGTTGTGAAGACAATCTTCAAAATATGCCCCAACTTTAACCAATTCCATTAAGTCTGTCTGAGTCTGCAGGCAGACTGAAAAAATGGTTACCTACCTCTTGGTAACTGTTGTTCTTCGAGATGTGTTGCTCATGTCAATTCCAAGTAGGTGTGTGAGTGCCACATGCAGTCACCGGAAGTTTTTTTTCCCCTAGTGGTATCGGTAGGATCAGCTCTGGAGCCCCCTGGAGTTGTGCTTTCATGGTGCCGTATATACAGCCCTGCTGACACCTCCCCCTCCTCCCCCCCCCGCCTCTTCAGTTCCTTCTCACCAGCTGACTCCGACAGAGGGGTAGGTTGGTGGGTCTTAGAATGGACGTAGCAACACATCTCGAAGAACAACAGTTTTGAAAAGGTATCTAACCGTTTTTTCTTCTTTGAGTGCTTGCTCATATAGATTCCAAGTAGGTGACTCCCAAGCAGTCCCTAGGAGGAGGGGTCAGAGGTCACGCAGCTTTCATCACGAATTCATGGACTGAAGTACTGCCCTGCCAAATGTGGCATCGTCTCTGACTTGCTGTACAATAGCATAATGCAAACTAAAGGTGTGCATAGACGACCATGCTGCAGCTCTACAGATTGGGACCTGTGCCAGAAAAGCTGCTGAAAACGTCTGAGCCCTAATGGAGTGTGCTGTCAGTGCAGGTGCATGTATCTTTGCCAAATCATAGCACGCACGAATACAAAGATGTGACCCACAATGAGATTCTCTGGGATG